AACATCCAGATGAACAGAATCAGCTGTTGTGGATTTGCTTACCTGGATGATTGAACATGCATCAAGAGGGTCCTGAGTACAAATCCATTAGCTGACTGGGGCCTTCTATGGAGCTTGCATGTTCTCCCCCATCTTGCGAGGGTTTTCTCTTGAGCACTCTGACTTCCTCCTACAGTCCAAAGACATGAATGGAGATTAGGTTACCTGGCAGTTCTAAATTGGCCCTAGGTGTGGATGTGAATACTTGTGTGTCTCTGTGTTACTGTGATGGTCAAAGCCATGGCCACACTCTAAAAGTCAGTAACTCTTATGTATTCGTTATTTTTGATTTAAATAACACACTTTAGTTTGCAGAAAGTTTATTGATTGGTTTGGCTACATTTGTTCTATTTGTAAGCGCGCACATTTAGTTTATCTATGTATCCGAATTTGTACGGAATGGAAAACCAAAGAAGTTCAGCCTTTCTCCTAACCTTATTCAAATTAGTTTTAGTTAATACACGAAGGAGATCTTACGGTTAGCCCATGGCAACTCATTAGTAGGTGTAGATCTTCACAATGGAAGAGAGAGAAGATCGGTCCATGACAAGAGTAAGGAAGGCATCCGAGCTGAGCGAGGCTTTTCGCGAGGGAGGTTCATTAGAGGTTATCATGAAGCATGACAAGTAGACTCAGAGAATCGGTCGAGAATCCATTAACAGGCCATAATCCCGCTTAGAGAGGCACGAGAATGAACAAGGCTTTTTGGGTGGAAGACAACAAGAAAGATGATGATAACGCCAGTTCATCCCCACCCGATACTCCCTGGCTGATTGTAGACCCACCACCCGAGACCTCTAACATAAGAGCACTTCACCCATCAGACTTCTGAAAGCATCTGCGGACTTCTTCCACCAATGTTGGACCTCTAGAAGCTGAAGGACAGCATTTTCGGCATGACCCAGGAAAAAAGTTGAAGGGAACAATGCAATTAAAGATCATGCTTTCAGTAGCTCGATAACTTTGTAACTCAACAGTAAATTCCAGTAGCACCAGCTGACTGTTTGTGCCACGCATACATCCTGATGCACAAGGCTCCTCAATGTACACAAGAGTGCATACTTGTGCTAGTGAATCGAACCGGACTCAAACAGAAAAATAATCACAATCTCAAACATTTAAGAAAGACTGCGTAGGAGTGAGGAGGAGGAAGCGTCTGTGGACACAACGAGGAGTTCTCGGTGAAAAGGCAGAGGGACGAAGCTCCTAATGGAAAGAGAGGGAAGATGACTAGGAGGAGCCGAGGACGGAGCTGAGCTATGTGGCAAATCTCTGAAGAACTTCTCCGTCCGTGAAAGCAGCAGAGCCGCCTTTATTTCGAAAAAGTGGTGAGTTGGAATCGCAGTGGGCCTGACACGGTGAACTGGTCTGATGTTTCCTCCAAACTTTGAATCCACGCGGGGGGAAAGTTTCAGAGGAAGGGCCGAAGCTTCAAGCTAGGCTGTGGAAGTTCCTCCAGTGAGTTAAACCTGAGGACAGAGTCAGGCCCTGCTGCGGGAGGTCTCTGTAATGCAGCAGTACATTACCTCACATTACTGCTGTTTATTTATTTATTTAAACAAACTTCTCCCACATGTTGTCTTGTTTTCCGGAACAAACCGTGGCTGCACCCTGAGTGTTTCGGTGCTCCTCAGAAAACGTCCTGTTTCTGTTGCTCACGTTTTCCTTTTTTTAAAAAGTCCCGATTTTTGAATATTTAACTGCTCATACCGGTTATACAATTAGCTCGATTCGTATTTGGCAATGATACGTTTATTTTAAACGTGTTTCTGTTCACAACACCGTAGATCTGAAAGCAAACGATCGATGTGTGATTGAATTCAAAGGGTTTAAAAAGTATTTCACTAATAATGTAGGAATTATAGCTGTTTTGTAATCCCGGACAAATGAAGATGATTTTAATGTTAGTGTTTCTTTAGTCCTCTGCAGTCACTGCTTAAGAAGAGAGCTCGTAGATAGACCCAAACACTGCATCTTCCTGTTGTTTATTAGCTAATACAGTGAAGAGGTGACAGGAAGGAGAGAGCGAGAAGAAGACGCCAGCAAAGGGCCTCAGGCTGCTGCGCTGAGCCTTGTTTGCCTGCTCAGTCTGAGCTACACCGATGTGCTCCCAACATTCTGGTGCACGTTCATTTTCGCCTCCTCTGTCCACTTACAATAATCTTTTCCAGAACTGGGCACGTTG